AAAAGACTTTGGAAGAAAGAAACATAAATATTTTCAGGGGGGTGAGGAAAGATATCCATGAAATAAGAACAGGCTCCTAAGAAATAAGAACAATATAACTGATAGTTCATAATTATAGTACATCAGAATTTAACCTCATTTAGAAATAGGGTCACTGCAGATGTAATTAAGATGAATCATGCTGGAGTAGGATGGGCCCTTAACCCAATATGACTGGAGTCCTTATAAGAAAAGCAGAGAGACACATGGGGAAAAGATGACCATGTGGTGACAGAGGAAGAGATAAGAATGATGCATCTTTGAGCCAAGGAGTGCCAACAAACAGCAGAAGCTAGAAGAGGCACAGAGCAAAATAAGGGAAAGAAGGTAGTTGGGGATGGGATTAGATATCATTAAAGACATAGTAAAGATCAATGGAGCAGATAAATGAGAGAGAGGAAGGAAGGGGAAGGGAAAGAAATATGGAATGAATTTAGCAAAATCATGGTATATTCATATGTAAAGGTACAAAAAGGAATTTCACCTTTATGTATACGTAGAAGAAAGGAAATTCAATAGAATGGAAGAGGGAGAATAGGGGGATGGAGGAGGGAATAAAAGCAGGGGTAGGGAATGGAGATTGAAATAAATTCCTTGCAAGTACGATTTCATATAAAACCTTAAAGGTTTAGATGGAGCATGGCCCTGCAGACACCTCATTAGATTTCTAGTTTCCAGAATCATGAGACAATAAATTTCTGTTGTTTTAAGCCAGTACCTGTTGTAGTACTTTGTAACGACAGTCCTAAGAAACAAATATAGTATTTATCTGTGGTCTTTACAACATAATCACTGATTTTATAACTATAGTCTTTGAAAGACTAGTTTCAGTGGCATACAGAACTTTCTAATTGTGAGGTACACCTCTAGAAAGAGCAACTTAAAACTGTGTTGAATTTCTTTGCCTTCTTTTAAAGCATTCAAAACCAGGATGAGGGTGGTATCAAAGTATTTCTTTCTTAAACAATGCTTTCTGGATAAGAATAATTGGTTCTTATAATACGAGAGGTAAGGGCTCAAATATTGGTGGATTTTTTCTTTTCCAATGGTTCATTTTGGAGGGGGATGAAATCACAATATATTTGACCTCTGCACTACAAATAAAAGTAGAGTCTTCTATTGGAAGAGGGTCTTGGTTCCTCATCCCTCACAGCAGCTCCTGCAAGCCAGTTTAAACACAACTGCTCTGCAGGGATTTTATCAAGGGAGTCAATACACAGATAAAATATATGACATAAAAACCATAAGCAGCAAAGGACTTATAAAGAAGATATTCCTCAGATGACCATTTTATTTTAAGCTCAGATAGAAGTCAAGGGTAAAACATGAAAATATAACTCAGCAAAGACATTTCTGTGGAATGCTAATCTAATGAGGTCTGTGTGCAGAGGTAATGATCTAACTGCTGTGCAATAATATTGTCCCAAGTCTCACTATAGGAATTGCAGGCCTCTCAGACTGTCTTTTTTGAATATCTCTTCTCTTGGATGGGCATTTGCTTAACATTGGATGGCAACACTTTCCAGTAAAATTCTTTTGTGAGAACCTAAATCCACATACTCTATGCTATTCATTGGATGATATACTAATGCTTGAGTACCATACAATTATGTGGCAAGATCCACATTCCGCTGAAAGTCCTAAAACTCAATGAGTACGCTTATGTACTTGGAGGACTGTCCCATCCTTGATTTTATGATTATGAAAGAAACAAATATATTTTTTTTCTTTAAGTGTTTTAGCTGGGTGAGGTGGCATGTATGTATAGACCCAGTTACTCTGGAGGTTGAGGTGAGAGGATCACTTAAGTTCAGGAGTTCAAGGCCAACCTGGACAAAGTAATGGGACCTCATCTCAAAGAAAGGAAAAAAAAATTTGTTTTCCTATATTACTCATATAATATGTATTCACTGAAGATACATTAGAAGACACAGAAAAACATGAAGGAGAAAATTAAAAAAACTCACAATCTTTAGGCATTAAGCACAGTTAACATTTTGTATATTCTTCCAGACCTATTTCTATATACATTCTTTTTAAACAATGTTCTATGATTCACATATTCAGCATTTGCTTTTTTTCTGGTACCAATATATTGTACACAGTTTTTCTTTGGCGTCTCATAGATCAATTAAGATGTCCATTATTGATGGACATCTAGATCTGTTTCATTCTTTTGGTATTATGAACATTTCATTAACTCTCTATCCAAAATACTTGGTACATTTTAATTATTGCTTTAAGATAAAACTCTGTAGCCGGACTGATGGGTTAAATATACACATTTTGTGATTTTTAAAAAGTATTTCCAAATTATCTTTGAAGTATGTTTCTATGTGTGTTTCCAACAGCAGTATATGAAATAGCACACTCTATCATTAGTATTACCCTCTGACTACCAGTTCAAAAGGTAAAATTTGGTGTCTTCTTGCTGTTTAATTTTGTGTGTGTGCTTGGGAACAACCCAGGGCCTCCTGCATGCTAAGCACAGACTTTACCATGAAGCTAACTAAGCCCTGGCCCCAAATTTCATTTCTTCAATTATTAATGAAGATGAACCTCCCCCACCACTACCTCCAACACATCCAGCACAGTTTTCTTACTAACATGCCTCAAAAACCTTAACTGCCTGGACTTTCTGGATTTTGTTTACTCTCTTGCTGTTTTCTGAATTATCTAAGTATTCCCAGATATGTAGTATACTCCTTCAGGCATTTTCCAGGACATCAAGGAGATCTCTTGTTACCAATTAAAAAAACCTCTGTGGAACACCATTTTTTTTTTTTTTGGTAGTGTACATGTGCACCAGTGTGCACCTGTGAGTGTGTGTGTGTGTGTGTGTGTGTGTGTGTGTTGAGGTGGTTCTGCAGGCCAGGATAGAGGCCTCAGGTGTGGCTGTGGGATGATAAAACAGTTTATGGAGTCCTGCTTCCCACATGGTAGCTCAGATTCCAGAACTGGCTTCTTGAAAGGTCAAGCCCAGCGAGGGAGTAAGCTGTTTGCATGTAGGTAGTTGAGAATAAGAGGTCTTGGAGTGTAATCTAAGGAGTGTATCTTCCTTTTTATATTGAAATATTATAATTATACACAGTATTTGGGTTAATTTTGATGAGATCATAGATGCAAGCAATTTATTTCAATCCCCAATCCCTGCCCCCGCTTTCCTTCCCTCCTCCTCCCCCATCTCCCTCTTCTATTCTACTAAATTTCTTTCTTCTACATATATAAAGGTGAAATTCCTTTTTATACCTTTACATATGAATATACCATGATTTTGTTAAATTCATTCCATATTTCTTTCCCTTCCTCTTCCTTCCTCTCTCTCTTATTTATCTGCTCCAATAATCTTTCCTGTGTCTTTATGATATCAAATCCCATCCCTAACTACCTTCTTTCCCCTATTTTGCTCTAGCTTCCACATATGAGAGAAAACATTAGATCCTTGTTTTCTGGGTCTGGTTTATTTCACTTAGTATGATTTTCTTTATTTCCATCCATTTACAGGCAAATGCCATCATTTCATTCTTCTTTATGGCTGAGTAACACTCCATTGTATATATGTACCACATTTTCTTAATTTGGTCACCTATTGATGGGCATCTGGGTTGTATCCGTAATTTGGCTATTATGGATTGTGCTCCTATAAACATTGAAGTAGCTATATCACTGTAGTATGCTGATTTTAGATCTTTTGGAAAAATACTAAGGAGTGAGATAGCTGGGTCATATGTGGTTCCATTCCTAGTTTTTTTTTTTTTTCAGGAATCTCCACATTGCTTTCCAGAGCAGTTGTACTAACTGGCAGTCCCACCAACAGTGTAAGAGTGTGTGCCTTTCCCCCCACATCCTTGCCAGCCTTTATTATTATTCATACTCTTAATAATTGCCATTCTGACTGAAGTGACTTAGTTTTGATTTGCATTTCCCTAATTGCTAGAGATGTTGAATAATTTTTCATATATTTCTTGGCCATTTGGAACACCCTCCTTTCATCCAATTAAAGAATGTCCAAGGCCAATGGTTCATGCTTTCTGCAACTTGACTATTTTGTTTTGTTTGAGATGGAGTCTCCCTATGTTGACTAGGCTAGTTTCAAACTCTTAAATTCAAGCAGTTTCTCTCTGCCCCAGCTTCTGCAGAAGCTAGGACCACAGGGGAGGACACCATTGACTACAGTGTGGCTTTTAAACCTCCTCATTGAGGGAAAGAGCTGGTGAAGCTGGAGACTCTATTGAGCCAGGAACCCTTATAGAAGCAAGAGAATGTTCATCCCAGCCAGGCTTTGCTGATGAAAATGTTTTTCTTTTTTATGCATTTTGGTGAAAATGTTTTGATGAACTGTGAACTGTTTCTGTCTAGTCTCCATTTGACTGGCTTGTGACCTTGCATTCTCTCTAAAAGAGGCAGTTGAGATGGAAACAGATGTGTTTGTGTCAGGACTCCCAGAGCAGATTACAGAGGGGTTTTGTGCTAGTGACAGCAAGAGTAACTTCTGTAAATTAGCAGTGAAGAATGAGCTCTGGAGGCCTGATTCCACCTCTAGAGCCCACTAGACTAATTTGTGCCTCAGTTTCCTCTCATCTATAATATGTACAACTTTACAGAACGGGCATGACGATTCAGTCACTCCCTGAAAAGTTCTTAGAGCTTGGCTGGGGATTTGACATGATGGTAGAGTGTCTAGCAATCACGTGGCCACAGGTTCAATCCCCAGCACCTCATTGAAAGAAAGAAAAAAGAAGGTAAGTGCTAAATGAGCCAATGGAGTAGAAAAGTAAAAGAGCCAAGGGAGGATGATTAGTGCATATTAGTGCAATTGTGCATAATTGTCCAGACACATCTAATTTAGAAGGTGAGGGGAATCCCGGGTAGAATAGAGAAGTGAGCAAGAACTGGTTGGAGGGAAAGGACCAAACTGATCTATCTTGTTTTCCTCCCTGCAGCCAGCACTTTTTTTTCCTTTCTAATTTTCCCACACAGCCCTCCCACCCTCTTCTGCACTGAGTTCCTCGAGGCGGCGCCCGCACGTGGAGGTGAAGCAAGGGGCCCAGCGAGGACCGGCAGAGGAGCCACGGTCTGGAGCTCAGCGAGCGCATTGTGCGGACAAACTGAATGGAGCTGGGATGTGTGCGCGCTGGCTTGCACGGATTAGCCGTGCTTTCCCATGAACTACAAAAGAATGCCCGAATCTGGGACGTTTGTCATCAAGGGGCAGGCTGCTCAGGATGCAAGGTAACCAGAGCTTTTCCCGGACTGCTTCAGTCTTTTGGGACGTGGGTCACTCTAATCCTTCCTGTTTATATTGTGAATGCGTAGGCAGCAAGGCTTAAGCTCTGCAATGGTAAATAAGAATCGCGATGCAGGCATTCCTAAACAGCTACGTCCTCTGGTTGCTCTTTCTTTTTCTTTCTTTCTTTCTCTCCTTTTTTTTTTTAAGGGGCACTGTTGACTCCCATTTATTCAGTCCTTCACAGCAGTGGGACTGAGGGGTTGCTGCGGAAGCGCGCATCCAAAGCTGCCTTTCTGCCCACCAAAACTCCATTTAGCCCTTGGATCGTGCTCTTGTTTACACATTTATTTCCCCGTTTTATTTCTTCGTTCTTCATGCAACCACTTTGCCCTCCTGTTATTGCGAGGATCTCAAGATTGATTGTGCGTAATTGTCCAGACACATCTAATGAAACAGTTAATTCTCAGAAAAAACAACAAGTTTCTTATGGTGTTTGTGGAAGCTAGGAGATAAATTGATTGGTAGCGCCCTGTAAAAGTGTAATTGGAATTCTCCCCCAAACTACACATTTCTCTTTCATTCGAATTTGAAATCTTTCAGAACCTGGAATTTCAAGCCTATGATTTTGTGCAATTAAATGTTTGTGGGTGGTGAAGTCTAATTTCACAACCCCACTTTTAATCAAAGAAAAAAAAATCCTAAAGCTAAGCATGAAATCTGAGCTCATAGAAAGGCCATTCCTGTGGGGCTGCGTAGAAATGACCTGCTCCTGGAGATGAGTGCCCACCTGGAAGGAGGAGCACAGGAGGTTCTCCAAGACCTACCAGGACCATAGGGCCAGGCCCTATGTTAACCTTTTTATCTTAAAAAAAAAATTACTGAACATTTTTCCCCTGATTCGTTCATTTATTGATTCATTCCATGACTATGTACAAATGACTAAAAGAATCTGAGTGTTGCACTAGGAGTAGAAAGAGTAATATAGTGGACATTGGGCTTTACAGAGGTTCTGAAGGGGAAGGGAGAGGGAGAAGCTGGAAAGCACTTGGTTACTGTGTGCTAAGTGCTAAGGTGCAGATTAGGAGAACAGAGTGGAGCTGAAAGGATAAGGCAAGACTTTCAGAGAAAGTGGCATCTGGAAAGGGTGTTATCAAGGGTTCCCAATTAGTCCATGCTTTGGTATGACTTAGAGAGGGCCCTGAGAAAAACTCAAATTCTGGCCCTCTGCATTCCCACCTACTGAGTTAGAATGTCTGAGGGTGGAGAACCTTTATTTATTTATTTTTATTACTACCCCCACACCTCCCCTTTACTGGAGATGAAATCCAGAGCTTCACGCATGCTACCACTGAACTACTCTACCCAGGGCAGATCCTGCATTTAAATGCATTTAGGAGAGTCCATGAAACTCATCTGAGTCTTTGGTCTCATTCAAAGCATGAATAAAGACGGTGGTTGGAGGGAAATGATTTGGGGCTAATGGAACAGACATTTGCAAATAAAACAGAGGTGACTCAGACCTTATTTGGCTAATGGTGAGTAGCTAAATCATTTGTCCCAAAAGCATATAGTTGGTATTTCTGTAACACCTATGTGGAAAATCTTTACTTCTAGAGTTTCTTTGTTCCTTAACTTGACATTTTTTCATTACTGTATTAGAAATCAATGAAAAAAATCATGGTACATGATTTAGGGACTCTCTCCAATAATACATACTCAATTGAGCATGTGCACACATACAAACATACACACACACTCTGCTGGAATATATCTAGTTAATACAATGAGAGTTATCTGGGGTTTTTTTTTAGGAATTGTGAAATATCTCCTACAATGTCTTGGATAAAAGACATTGCATCCAATTAATTCTTACTTTAAGAATCTAGAATAATATGTGAATATTTATTTTATAAGCAAATGATTACTTGGTAGGTATATTATGAAAATATGTAGCCCTGAGACTTTTTGTGTGATCATCAATAACAGCAAAAGTTTCTAGTTTGTGGGAAAAAGTTAATGTGCAGGTCTGAATTATAAGCAGTGCCCCTTTCTATTTTAAGCCTAGACAATGGTACAGAGTGTTAAAGCATTAAAATAGAGATATTTCTTAATTGGGAACAGACATTTGCAAGTAGATATTCTCAACTAAGTAGATATTCTCACTTAATTTTTGTTGTTGTTTTATAAGTAAGACTTCAAGTCCTCTGACAAATACTACTTCAATACATGTTACCTGTGGTTATTTTTCTCTTGTTTATCTTTAACTTATTGCTGAATGTTTTAAAGGAGTCACTTTATTTTTTTCTGTCTGCACTTACCTTTGACTCCACACCTATATGTGAAGATTTCCTTAAATCGGTACTCGAGTGTAGCTCAGTGGAAGATCATGTACTTAGTATGCAAGAGGCCTTGGGTTTGATCCCCAGCACTTAAAAAAAAAAAAAAAAGATTTCCTTAAATCTAACCTTCCCATTAATTTTTTTTCTAATTAAGTTAAAGGAATTTCAACTCCTGTTCCGCTCTTGGGTTATATACCCTTCTTCAGTAAAGTTTTTTCTGATCCCTGGACCAGCTAGGCTCTCTCAGATTCTGACCCCCATTAATACTTGCAATTCATCTCTTGAATTATCCACCAAAATAATTTTTATTTGTTTAATGCCTGTTTTTTTCCTCTCCCTTAAACTTCTGAGGACAGGATTTTATCAAGTTCAACAATCCCCAGAAGCTAGCACATAGTAATTGTTCAATGATATTTGTCAAATTAATGAACAAAATGGATTTTCATAAATCAAAAATACCATTTTTCCACAGACCAATAACTTTTGTCATTAAAAATTCTGGCCGGGCACGGTGGTGCACACATGTAATCCCAGTAGCTTGGGAGGCTAAGGCAGAAGGATCGCGAATTCAAAGCCAACCTCAGCAAAAAGCGAGGCACTAAGCAACTCAGTGAGACCCTGTCTCTAAATAAAATACAAAATAGGGCTGGAGATGTGGCTCAATATTCAAGTGCCCCTGAGTTCAATCCCCAGTACCGCCTCCCCACCAAAAATAAAGAAATAAGAAAAAAAATTCTGAATTTCTTAGGATTGGGGGTATATCTCAAAAGCAGAGTATGAGTGAGGCCCTGGGTTCAATTCTCAACATATGTGTGTATGTTATATATATACACATTGTATATATTTGTGTGTATACACATACAATTTCTTCACGTGGTTTCACAGAGAGTGATCCAGTTATCTTCTAGTTTTTAGATCATCTCCTTCCGTGAAGTCTGGAGACATGCTTTTATACCAGAGGGTTAAGTAGGGAGAACTTAGCAGCCATTTGTTCTTAATGATTAATAAGCAGGGGTATATCTGTGCTTTTAAACTCCTTTATGTCAGAGGATGTTGTTCTAGCATACCTTTGTGTAGAGTTATTTCAACTGAGTTCTTGTCTATTGAGTATATATTAAGTGCTCAGCCCTGTGCCAGGCAAAAATGTACCATTAGATTTAATCTCTGCTGTCAAGAAACTTATGATCTATTCAAGGAACTAATACATAGACTCTGAACTTAACATCAACACAGATACACCCTCCTGATGGCACTTAGCATTATATTGTGGCCATAACTCTTCTTTCACAGTGTGAAATATGCAACAAACAGTAGAGGGTTAAGTAGTAAAGATAATGGTACAGACAATAGATTTAGGAAGACTTCAAAGAAAAGGTAAAAATTCTGATGTGAAAAGTAGACAGAAAAGACATTTTTAAGGTTGTGGGACTTAGCCTTTGAAGAATAGATAAGACCAGGTTATACTGTAAGATAGAAACAGCTTAAGAAGTGCAGAATAAGAAATGACAGCATGTGGCTAGACATTCTTGAAGTCACTCATTTGCCCAGTTGGAGAATCCAGGGAGAGCAAAGTGAAGTTGTTGTTTTCAGGAACTTTGCTTCCAAAAGACTCAAAGGAAGAAAGCAAATAAGGCCTGTTCAAAACACCTGGCCTCAGAATTATGGTTATAGAGCAGATAGTGCAAATATCAAAAATGTGACAAAACAAAATAATACCACCAGCAAGAATTTGAGAATAGGAATAGGAAAAAGCTAATTACTCCATTTATCAATCTTTACTAAAATTAAACTTGTATTTAAAAAATAAAAAAAACTATCTAATTTCTTACACATTTAAACTTTCTCTTTTTTTAAAAAAAAATCTATCTGTGGCCAAGGAATATTTGTTTAAAATTTGGCAATACTTTCACTTCAAATTATGTTTCCTAATTAAAATCAAGTAAAATTAAATTTAAGACTTTTAATAATTCAGAGCAAAAGTATCACATCATTCTTATTAACTAATTTATCTGTAGTGCTCCATTTCTGTACCTTTCATATGCATGTGTTGTCTTCAATGGTGCTGATCAAGTATTAGCATCAGTTAATACTGGGCAGGGGGATTTGTAGTGATTTGTTGCTGTTTTCCTTCATACCTTTTGAAATTACTCATTTAAAAAATATGATAAATCATTTTGATAAAAACACTGAAGTAATTACTTAAATGAATATCTGACCAAAACAAGACAGAAACATGGGGAGAAGAGCTATCCAAAAGAAACCAAAGCAACTCACTTTTCTTATGGTCCTTTTGCTAGTAGAAACTCCAAGCCTCATAGCTATTTATAGCTCTACACTACATATTTTATTTACCCATAAAATTTATGGAGCTCTGACAGTGTTTTAGCCTGGAGATAATATTTTTGGTGGTGTAGTGACACAATTGTTTATTATTTGCTGGTATTATTATACTTATGGAAAACGTCCTCCTGGGGTGAATCTGGATTGGTCCAAGACATTTCTGCTTATCTCATTTTCTTTGCCAGTGATTGGTTCAGCATGGACATATGATACAATTCTGGCCAATTGGATGTGAATGGAAGATTGCCAAGTAGTGACCTTCTGTGAAAGGATTATTTTTGCTTTTCAAAACAAGCTAGTGAGTGGGGAAAAAAAAAATCCAT